CGTACCTGAAGAATCCATCGCCAGCCTGGAAGGGCTTGTTCTCTCGAGAAGGCCCACAGCATGCGGCTCCCCGAAGAAATCCCACCGAGTCCGCAGCAGGCCTGCATGATCGCGATTATGCTCGAGAACACAATGGCAGCCCCCGTGCTCTGGGTGGCACTTTCGAGGATCTGCATGAAGGGATACGGAGCGTCCGATTTGAGAACAGCGGACAGATCTCCCGCCGTGAACAGGAAGGCGATCAGCATCGCGAAGCCAAGGACTCCGTTAATGGCGATGGCGAACAGCATCGAGTGTGGAACTACCATGGTGCTATTCGCGACCTCCTCGGCCATCTGGCAGTTTCAGTAGAGAATCGAATCAGTCCAGTGTGACTACTCACATGAACCACTCCATCTGTGCCTGCTTGACGTCAGCTCTCATATCACGCTGAAGGGACGGGCCGCCGGACATACCTAAAAAAGCGCCAACGATTCCCTTCAAGCCCACGAAAGTGGCCAATGTGATATCACGCCAACCGCCGACATTGAACGTCTGGACAAATACTGACCTGGCGTCAGCCTTGGGACCTAGATAGACAATCGGTATGAGAACCGCGAAAAAGCCAAGCACGTGGACGATGCCTATGAACACCTCCAGCACGGGCAGAATCATCCCTAGCCAGGTGTTCAGGATGGCGCAGATCAGCAAAATCCCCCACATAATCAAAGTTACATGCCAGCCTTCAGGTTCGTAGTCTGGACGTTTCATGGCGACCGCATTCTGCAGGATGCTCCCGGCTACATACACCGCCCCTGTTGGAACAGCTGTCCAAGCGATAATGCAGATTGAGCCTTCGCCTTGAATTAGAATTGAAAGTGATTTTATGTTGTTGAAAAGGTGCATTGACATACCGGTGACATGGCTGATGAATCGCTTCGATGACTCGGGTGCTAGGATACTCGCCCAGTGGTATTGCCCACCGGCCTGCGGATGTTATGTCAGAGAGTGACCACGAGCAGCAGCTGTCAAAACCTACCGACGGGATCATGCTCGCCAGCTCCCCCAATGCAGTAAATATGCTGATGAAGCCGATCCAAACTGCGATATAGCCATAGACCAGACCGGCTGGCCCTCCACTAGGAACGAGATTAACACCAACACAAAGCCTTTCATGTCAGCACGGCAATCGGGGAACCATACTTTGGCAGGCCTACGCCGAAGTTACTATTTTCATGTTAATTTAGGTCGACTGAGCAATGTATGGCAACGAACATAAGAAAGGCCTCCCATGTGAGCATCAGGCTGCAGGCAAATCCCACCGTGCTGGCCAGTCCGAATCTGCGCTGTCAAATGGGTCAGCTGACAAATAGATGATGGCATATGTCCAACCGTAGGACTTACCTTGAGGACCTCCTTCTTTCCCACCTGGGCCAACTCGAGTGCATCCCGCGTACAGAGGACCACATTGCCCCGATGGAGGACGGAAGGTCCCTCTGCCACTATTGAGGTCAGTTCGACCACACTTTCAGCTGGGGAGCGCTCGCGCATCTTGTCGGAGGAGATTGGTTCTAGTATTGGAGGGTGAGCAGGATGGGCATGCAAGAACAGACCCGATTCGATTTCTGGAAAAGGAACGGAGAGAACATAACGGAAAAACGGAAACCCCCGAGAGAGATGCCAACGGTTGACAGAGGAAAGGGATGGCTGAGCTGGGCCCCTGATTCAACTTCGGGCTGTCCGATCGGCAAAGTAGGACAAGGTGCGGGGCTTACAGTTTAACCAAGATGCCTGTCGCCTGGGGAGACCTTTGTGCCACCACCAATGGCCGACTTGTCATTCGACTTCTGACGAGGAGAGCCAGAGCCAGACCCAGGAGCAGAATGTGTAGGACAAAGTCAATTTCTGCTGACCGAGCGTCGCCCTGGAACGAGGTCAAGATGAGGCTGCCCCGGGTCTGCGATCAGCATCAGGACATGTAGGTCCCGTCCTCTTTCAGGCCAGGGGAGTACCTAGCTCCAGTCACAGGGAGGCAGCAGCATTGAGATTGTAATATTGCGATGTTGCAGTGGGATGGCCCGATTTAGGCAATGGGGGGGGGCTACCGTCTGCTGGCTCTGTTAGGGTTGGGTGTTGTCTTGTCACGCCCTCGCCATGATCACCAAACCATCATTCCCACACAGTACTACCTTACTCAGTAGATGTGACCGAGTCGACATTTCCGCTTACCTCGCGGTCCTGACTAGGCTCTTAAATGTATCCAGCACGCCCATGGCTTTACTCCGAATACGATAAACTTCCGAAATCCTTCGGATAGACAGCACCCCACTGTTGGCGTCCAAGTGTGTTAATCTTTCTTGCCGTGCAAGATGGAGGACCACGGCGCCGTTGTTAAGATTGTTTCATGGTTCTTGCTGATTGTGTCATCCGGGGCGGTGGCGGCCTGCCTTCTGACGAGCTGGCATCTCCTCGGAAGGAAGATCTTGGTTCTGACCCTCTTATTGAGCACGCTGGTCAGTAAGAAACCCCTAACATTCCCCGTGTGCTGGCTCCAATCATAGAAATCTCACACCTCCGGACAGCTCTCATCCGCCATCGCCGGGGCCACTGTCTCTCTCGCCGCAACCCGTGGCCTGGGCCGACCGGGGATCGACGATGACACCCTCGAAGACCAGCTCGCGGGTCTCCAGACAGCCGTCTACCTGACGGAGATCTTCCATGTCCTGACCCTCGGGCTGGGAAAGCTCTCCTTCGTCGCTCTCTTTTACATGGTTCTGTCCGGAAGCGCGCTGACGACTCTCACCCGCGCGATCGTCGCCGTCGGGACGTTTCTCGTCCTCTGGACCTTCACCATGGTCCTCGCGGTCGCCTTTCAGTGCCGTCCGCCTGAGGTTTGGAACCTGATGTCTGGGACATGCTTGGACGTGGTATGAGTCTATTCGCGCATGCCGAGCTTTCTACACGCGCTTACCATGTTTCTGATACAGACGGTTCTATGGACCTACTACGGCGTCATGAACATCATCATCGAGACCATATTATTTGCTGTTCCGAGCATCCTCATCTACCGACTTCGCATGCGTCTGCGCAAACGGTTGGTGGTGATCGGATGCTTGAGCGTTCGGACTCTGTACGTCCCCCCTCCTCTCCTCTATCCCTGCCCTCCCGCGTATGATCGACCGTATGTCACGAGTACCTGCCCGTCCTAACCAGTTTGCTAAAAACAAATAGAGACATCCTCGTCTCCGCCGTCCAGCTCCACTACGTCCACGGCTTCGACCCCAGCCCTTCCCTCCCCGTGGCGCTCTACCCGTGGATGCTCTGCGGCCAGGTCCTGCAGACCGTCACGATCGTGGCAGCGTGCGTGCCCTATCTTCGCGAGTTCCTGGAGTCCTTCCCGAGCGGCATGCTGAAGCCGGCTGGGGTGGAGCGCACGACGGGGCTGCGGTACGGGTCGGGGACTACACGGCTTCTGGATAGTGATTCGGGGGCGTCGCCTTAGTTACCACTGGCGGAGTGGGAGTAGTTTTCTATATCATTCTGTATAAATACTTTTTCATCCACTTCCCAAAATAATATACCTGGAGCGAGAGTCGTAGAAGATGAGAATAAGTGTTTTTTTGTGGCTGTTGGGAGTCAAAGAGTAGAGTTATCTGAATATCGCCGCGACACTCAGAGAAGAAGGGATGCAGTCCGACGCGGTCGTCGGGCCGGTCGAGACACAGGACGCTGTTTGCACGCTGGTGACTGGGTGCGGAGCGTTGTTGTTCTGGTCTGCCACACGGCCCATGGCTGCTCTTGCCAGGGTCATGAGGACAAGATTTGAGGTTCGCATTGTGGATAGGTGATGAATCTATGGCGCCGACCTCGTTCTGCAGGTGGATTCTGCAGCTTCGGGCAGAAAATCAGTGAACGGTTGAAGATTAGTGAATAAGTGGTGGAGTGTGTTTCATGCATCACATACCTAATTTATATACGCACCTTCCTGCTTGTAGGTTTCCTCAGGGGATGAGTGGTTGAAACATCATGGTTAACTCTCTGGCTCACGGAAGCGGTAGTATATAATATATTTGCTCGCCGTGGACTATCTTCAAGGGAGGGCCACGGAAATACATCCTTGCGATGAGCTCTAACACTGCGCATTGACCTCGTTGTGTCACACGGAACATGGTAACCAGTGTCGCTCGGGGAATTACTTGATTGCACTCAGGGGGCCGAATTTCAAATCTGTTCATTTGATCGGCGGCACGGATCACGGGGGTTGTCGCACAAATGTTGGTGCTCAAAACCTCCCAGTGGCTTCAAGAAGATGGCAACATATGACTCTTACCCAATTTGCATAATGTTTGTAGGCTGGCATAGCTGACTAAAGGGTTGTTGGGATTGTGGTAGCTCGGACAAATGTTGATGGTTGTACTGTACTACCCAGTCAGCAAACGGGGCCATTTTCTACACACCTTAGGTGGCCTGAGCATTTCAGCCTCAACTATTTAGGAACGGGGAGGGAGATAGGCTCCACCGCGAGAAGGAATGTGCAGTTGCAAGCTGGACAGAGCTTTACTCGTCATTTGTCTTGGATGCTTTTCGATTGCTGAAACACGCCCATGTTCATGCTGTTAACCCGTTCCACTTTCAATTGAAATATCTTTGTATATCGACTATTGATCTCCATACCTACCAGGGTCTTCTATTATGCTAGGCATATACCGGAAATTAAGTGAGCATGCCGGAACGATCGAGGACGGGAAGCTCGAAGCAACCGTCGCAGACGGGCTCCTCTCCCACAAAAGGGCAAGCTTGCTATCAACAGTCAACAGCCGCGGGCCGTGCTTTATGACGCTGTTTCTCTTGATATCGTTGGCGGCCAATGTCTGTTTTGTATTCCGGCAGAGCCCGCAAAGTTCTCATTGTGACTCTGCGACCCTTTGCAGGGCTCCGCAACTCCAACGCTCTACATACAGTAAGTCTTGCACACATATCCCCACACGCGGGAACATCCTTACATCTCCGAACTACAAGCTGGACTCGCCTATGATGTGCCAACCCGATACTCCCTCTCCACCGACTACACCAGCGACAATCAGACGCTTGCGGACCACATGTGGGATAGCCTAAGTCTGGATTCGATGGTTATCGCTCCTACGATTGAATGGGCTGAGGAGATGGGCCTCCCTGACTCCTGGGATTTTCCATGGGACCCAAACCGGAAGATCTACTTTGTCAAAGTCTATCATCAACTACACTGCCTGGTACGTGAGATATTCACCTTGTGTGTCTGATATGTGACCAAAGTTGATCCCCAGCTAACTCATCTTCTATCGAGTGAGGTAGAAAAACATCCGCCGAGCTTTCAAACAGCTTCTCTCCCCGGAAACAGACCCCATCTCCTTCGGCCACGTCGAGCATTGTCTCGACACCTTGCGACAGGACTTCATGTGTCGCGCCGACGACACACCGATGCCGTCGCTGCAGCTGGTCAACGGGGCCGGAGAGGGCCAGATCCAACAATGTAAGAACTTCGAGAAGTTGGTGTCGTGGACGAAGCACCCGGACCGCGATGCGTGCTACCGGCGGCTGAGCGACTATCGCCCCCCGTCGCGCAGTATCGATCGGTATGCGTATTGTGCTCCGGGCAGTGAGCATTTCGCGACAATGACGAGGTACTTTGAGTATTATGGGTGGCCACAGGTAGTTGAGGATTGATGCTGGGGTCCGGGACTGTATGAGGGGTAGAGGGTCGAGTGAATACTGATTGGGACCGGGTGTGAGGCTTGGTGTGGTGTGGTGTAACATAGTGTTTTTGCTCGGATTATGATAAGCAGTGAATTGAACTTCCCAGTCCCTTGCCTCCGGGTGTTCTTCCTTGCTTTTAAATTCTTCTGTGTTTTCAAGATTTGTTGAATTTTGAGCATGGATGGGAAATTAGCATCGCAAGAACACAACTCTGCCTCTGGGAACGACGAGGAAGCATGCGGGCAGCTCCTGGTGGATTACTTCGAAAATGATCCAGACAACCCACGCAACTGGTCCAAGACATGGAGATGGTCCATCGTGGTTCTCGTCGCGTGTTTATGTGCAGAGGTGTATGTCGCCAACCACGACCTTCGAATGAGTGAAACCATGACCTACTGACTCCACCACCCGATATCAGACAGCTATGCACCATCATTGCCGCGCCCGTCTCGCCTCAGATCCTGGCCTTCTTCCATTCCAACAACCTGCTCTATCGCACCCTCCTCGTCACAATCTGGGAGCTGGGCGAGATCTTCGCCCCTCTCGTCTGGGGCCCTCTCTCGGAACTCCACGGTCGACGCTGGATCCTAAACGGAGCGAACCTCCTCTTCATCGTGTTCCTTGCCGGCACGGCCCTGAGCACCAGCATCCAGATGCTCATCGCCTTCCGGTTCCTCAGCGGGCTCGCCACGGCCTGTATCCCCATCGGGCCCGGCATCGTGAAAGACCTGTTCCCCAAAGACCAACGTGGCCGCGCTATGTCCATCATGTCGCTGACCAGCGTGGTCGGGCCCGTGGTCGGTCCCATCGTGGGCTCGTATCTGGGCGAACGCGCCGGCTGGCGCTGGGTCTTCTGGCTTCCGACTCTGCTCTCCGGCGCTTTAGGGGTGTTAATTCTGACAGTCTATCGCGAGACATACAAACTGACGATCCTCAAACGCAAGGCGGCTGCGCTACAACACAGCCCACGCACAACCGCCCACCACACTACAAGTTCCCCTCCACGCACAACAGCCAACACAAACAACCTCATCCTCCTCCGCCCCCTAACCCTCATCACCCACTCCCCGACCCTCCTCCTCGCAACCCTCCACCTCAGCCTCATCTACGGCCTCACCTACCTGATCATGACAACCATCGCCCCCGTCTTCCAAGACACCTACGCCTTCTCCGAGGGCGCCTCCGGCCTGGCCTTTCTAGGACTCTGTCTAGGCTTCACCCTCGGCGCCCTGCTCTGCAGCCTCCTCCTGGACCGCTACATCACCCGCCGACGCAGCAGCCCTAGCCCCAGCTCGCATGCATCAGCGAGCCCAGAACAACGCCTCCCGCCGCTATTCCTGGCGTGCCTCCTCACCTCCGGCGGACTGTTGCTGTTTGGCTGGTCCGTCCACTACAGAATCCACTTCGTGGTCCCGATCGTGGGGACGGCGATGGTCGGGCTCGGGCTGGCGGCGACGTCGATCACGGTGCAGACGTACGTGGTGGATTCGTTCGGGGTGTGTGCGGTCAGTGCGATCAGTGCGTTGATGGTGGTGAGGAATGTCACGGCCGCGGTGTTGCCGTTGGCGGGATCGCCGCTGTTTCGGGCGGTGGGGTACGGGTGGGGTGGGACGGTGTTGGCGGGTGTGGGGTTGCTGGTGGCGCCGGTGCCGGGGGTGTTGATGCGGTTTGGGGGGCGGTGGAGGGTGGGTGGAAGGAGGGGTGATGGGGATGGGGATGAGGTGGGTGGTGGTGGAGGTGGTGGATGAGGTGGGAGAGCTTCGGGTGTGTTTAGGGAGGGTGGGGATTTTTAAATGTGTCTTTCTAGAGCAGGGGGTGGGTCATGTCTTGTTACTTTAGTGATTGAGTAGTTTGATGAACAAGGGCTATTGTAGCTGCGCACCTTCTTCAAGTAAGTGGGGCTATAGAATCCGTGTTCCATATCCTTGTGGTCTGTATTGTATTTAAGTTGGCTGAGTGCCCACAGGTTGCTCGGAATAACTGTTTGTTGCTGCTACCTTCTGCACGGGGCAACATCGATTTGGTCTGAGGAAAGCTAAAACCACCACAGGCTCTTCTTGTAGCATGCATGGAGTTTATCTAGTATCTCGCAATGCTTAGTCTTATTCTTATCTGCCATCCACTTGCATGCCTTTGTACATATCCCTAAAACCTCTTCCTCCATACATTAAGCTAACGTTCTAGAATGCCACCCTAGAATAAATTACTAGAATATCCCCACCCCCCACAAACCCGCCCACCAAACCTCAAATCTCAACCTTCACCCTCCCTGTAACCCGAACAAACACACTCTCCAGCACCCTCCACACCACCTCCTTCATCCCATCCCTTCTCAACCCCTCCAGCACCTCCCCCACCCTCTCCCCCGCCACCTCCCCATCCCAATTAACCGAATACACCCCCGAGCCGACCCTCCCATCCGTCCCCCTCGCAACCTCCACCCCCCCAACCATCACCCCACCCTCCCCATTCTGTCCGTTGAAGTCACCCTCCCGCGCCCGGAACCGCCCACTCGTCGCCAAGAAAACATGGCGCTCCCCACTCTCCACGGCGGGGATATACACCCACCTTCCAATAACCAACAACATCACCCACACCACCCACCCGTACCAGCTATCTGCGTCCCGGAAGAGCCCCGACCGCACCGTGCCGGGGTACTCATTGACGAACGCGACGGTCGGCGCCCGGTCCGCCAGACCCTCCATCGCCAGCGTCGTCATTGAGGTGACCTGGCCCCGGAAGGCGCGCATCGCGAGGCTGCGGCCGTCCGGGTCGGCGGCGTCGAGGATCTGGCCCTCGTGGCCGCCGGAGAGGACGGAGATCACCCGGCGGAGGTGGCCGGGGGGTGTGGCTTGGAGGAGCGGGAGGAGGTTGAGGGTGAAGCGGAGGCGGGCGTAGTAGAGGAGGGAGGCCAGGGTGCGGAGGTTCTCTGGGGTTTCTGTGCGTGGGGGATCAGAATTCTGATTGTGGGGTGGGTGGGTGGGTTGTGTAGGTTCGTGGGCATTTTTTCTGCTTGATGGGTAAACAAGGGAGGGAGCAGCGTAACGCACCAGCTTTCCCGGCTGTCGTGCCGGGGCTTAGAAACAGGAGGTTCAAGTAGGGTTCGTTGCGCAGCAGCCTGAGACTGAGCTCGTCGACCGCGGAGAGCCGGCTGACGTCGGCCTGCACGAACATGAACCTTCCGGTCGGGTTGAGGAATTCGCATTCGTGGGCGATGCGGTGGCCGGCGGCGGTGTTGCGGCCGACGAGATACACCCGCGGCCGCAGGGTCCGGGTGTGCTGCGCGAATTGTTTGACGGTCGCCTCGCCGATGCCGCTGGTTGCGCCGACGAAGAGGGCGATCGGGTTGCTTGGGATGGACGGGTGGGTGGGGATCCCGCGGTTGGAGGCTTGGATTGTGGGGAGGGAGATCATTGTGGGTGCGTTTCTTTCTTTGGGGGGGGCGGGGTTAAGAGGGTGGATTCCGGGGGGTCATCAATGGATGATGGATCTATCTCCGAAATCCGGTTATCTGGGGGACGGGATTGGTTTATATTCTGGGTTGTAGGCAGCGAATTATGAGCTGCTGGCTGGATTTGTAAGCCCCGCAGGGTTTTGTAAGCTGAGCTGCCTGCTAACTCAGCACCTGGAGGTAACTGAAGCAGGCTTGGTGTTTCACGGGCTCGATTCACATTTATATGGGACTTTCTATACAAACAAAAAAGCTATGCAATTGTCTTATCTGCTCGTCTTGTCGGCTACTTGGTAAGCTAACACTAGTATGGCCACTTGTGACGGTTGGTGGCCAGATCTTATTCAGTGTCAGCACTCAGGACTTTATTTCATACCATGGATCTTAATCATGAACCGCTGGACTAAGCTTATCTGGCTGGATATATCAAGGAGATAAGCTCTTAAGTCCGTTGCGCAGTACAAATTAAACATACAGGAATGCGAGCACTGTCCGCTGCCATTCAAGGAAAGTATCAATGAACCTGCCAGAACCCGACATGACAGAAAGGCATACTACCTGGTTAATCACAGGCGCATCGTCCGGCATCGGCCGATCCCTCGCCTTGGAAGCGTTGAACGCCGGGTTCAGAGTTATCGGCACAACCCGCAACGTCAGCCAAGCCGAAACCAATTGTGCTGAATTCTCATCGCGAGGAGGGACCTGGTTGGAATTGGACCCTGCCGTGCCGGATGCCTACCACCAGATCGCCAAAGTCGCTCAAAAGGAAAACATCGATGTGCTAGTCAACAACGCCGGATACGCCTTCATTGGCAGTGTGGAAGTTGTCAGGTATTTGACCCTGAGCGTTAGCGGCTCTGATACTCGATACCTGATTGCTAACGACCCTGTCATGCAGCGAGGAGGACGTCCACGCCCAGATGGAAGTTAACTTCTACGGGCCCCTGCGTACCGTTCAAGCCTGTCTGCCTGCGATGCGCGCGCGAGGGTCCGGCCAGATCATCCTCATCAGCAGCGGTGCTGGGTGAGTCTCCGCCGCCGAGCTCTCAGAATGGACAGGAGGGACGCAAGCTAAATAAAACAGGTTCATCGCTCGTCCTGCACGGGGTGTTTATTCCGTCAGTAAATTTGCCATCGAGGCCATTCACGAGTCTCTGGCTCAGGAGGTCAGATCCTTTGAGATCAAAGTTCTGATCGTGGAGCCAGGTGCATTCCGGACGACTTTTGCGACGAATTCACAAGCCCGCACGGATTCATGAGAGGTTCAGTCACGATTACATAAAGACTATTGTGGAGCAGATGATCAACGGTATTCATGTCGTGAAGTCGCTCCTGGACTCTGTCAAGGGTGATCCGGATATGGTACCATGCACGCGGTCATCAGCAACCATGATTATCTTTGTCTGCCCCTGAGAACAAATTGCGTCGCTGAGTGAGAGTTGAGAATCGCAGCCCTACATTATGATGTGAAAGCGACGAAGGTCATTATTATGAGGACGCATGTTGAGTGATAAATTTCGGTCCACTCTATCATTGCTAGTTCTATAAGAAGGCTAATATTTATGATATTGATGATGAGAGTGTTGTGAAGAACCTCGATTTCGGTCTACCTTGATTGTCTGCGGAAACCTGGATAAATACATGGCCGCTGAGTCATTCATCACACGAGGCCTAGGTTTCCGTCACTTGAAACCGTTGTCATATTCTGATAGACAAAACATAATAGGGTAATTCGTGATTCCAAAACAGCACTTATTGAATTCTTGTTGAACATCAAGATATAAATGGGGATGATATTGTCCGGCAATCTTCACGCGAGGATCGTCCTCTGCTTCAGCGTAGCTTCTTGAAAAGACGTTTGTATAATGACCACAATCAATTCCTGCTGAGGGTTGAAAGTATCAAAAGTCAAGAATATCTTGCATAATCGCAGGTCGGTTAAAGTCGGAAGCCATGGGCTATTTCGGAAGACACCGGGGGTCAGTCCACAATACACAGTAATATGTTCGATGATATTGCGTATAATTATCCAGTACTGGGAGTCTATAAAGCACTATAAGGCACTTGTATAATGTACGGTGATGGAGATCCAGGCTTGTTGCAGCAATGTCGGTGACACCCCGCACCACGAGCACATATGCGGCCTCATAGAGAGATGGAATTCATTTGGAGCAATATCTATCTTCATATTAGATGAAGTCTTGCTTGAAGGATTTAAGGAGGGGAAGAGGTGAGAACAGCCAAATTGAGAGCAGAAATTACCTTTTCAATGTAGGCAACCCCGATGAGTACACCGTTCTGATCCCGACATTGGCGCTCATCTCCAAAATCTTCATTTTCTGGATCAGTGCAGGTTAGGCAGCTGACCACAATCCTTGCATAAATATCGCCCATATGACGAGGGAGCTGCTCCTGAGCAAGTGAAATGAAGTATCTGTTCGCGGTGTAGAGGTGCTTGGTCTTGAGACAGCGACTTGACGGCGAGACATGCCCACCTCCCGCGCCAGAATCATCATTTTCAGTATCCTCATAATCAACGAACGATTCTCCCAAACCAATCTCAAGCAAACAGATTCCAAGACTGTAGATGTCATGTTGCATGATAAAGTCGGCTCTGTGGTACAGCCACTGACGATCAGGGTGTCGATAGAGGTTTCTTGCCCAGTCGAGATCGCCGTATCTTTGACTTCCGCCTCCCGCAGGGCGAAACGCCTCGAATCCCCCCAAGAAAAGCTCTCGGAGTGGAAAAATTCCATCCCCAAAGACTAAGATAGTTTCTGGGCGAATGTCCTTGTGCACAAACCCAAGGGAATGGACGGAGCTAACGGATATGGCAAGTTGCTTTGCCATGCGGAGCTTATCGGTCAGTGACCGCCAAACATCAGGAAACAAGAGATGTTCACGTAGGCTTCGGGGGTTGCGCAAGGCTCCCGGCATATCAAAAATAAATGTCCACGGCGTGGCGGTTTTATCAGGTTGGATATCGTCGGCCTTCAAGACCCCGCGACATTTGAGCACGTGGAACTCAAACGGATCAAGACTCTGAAGTCTAGAAGCGAGAGATTGGACATTCGGAGCTAATTCTTCGGGATCAACATGTGGAATAAACGGAAAGATATCGAGAATACATGGGAGCGACGTGATAGTCAAATTATTCACTTGCTGAAATTGAGTGAAACGGATGACAGACCGTCGAGCAGCGGGCAAAACCTCATGCGAAGGGAGAATTGGTATATGCTGGATCTCCCCTTCTTGAAGAATAACACGGATTCGATAAGCTGTAGTAAACGGACTAGCACCGACTGTCTGAGAGCTTGCTTTGGCCAGTGCATTGTCTATCGATTGATTTTGGATATGCCTGGTGATGAGGTACCAAGACGGATCAAAATTACCTTGCCAGTTTTGCAAGTCTAAGATAGCTTCATTCAACGATCTGTTCACGAAGAGAACAAAGCGTGATCGAGCTATGGCCCCATGAATAACGGCCTTCTGAGAATTGTGCTTTTGGTGAATTTTGCTGAGATTTGATGTTGCATTCTCCAGCTTGCGGGCCAGGATCGGAATAATACGTTCTTGTAAACTGCGATACTCTTCGTTAAGTTCGTACCAAATGCTTTTAAGAAGTGTGAGCTGCTGAGAAACTCTGGTCCAGGTCGCCTCTATAGCCACAACCCGCTCGTCATAATCAATTGACACATTCTTGATAGATTTATATTCCTCAATAAGAAATAGACCACGGCTTGATAACTTCAGTGTTACTGCTGAAAATTATAAGGGCGGGGAAAAGGAGAAGAGTAAGCATACATACGTAACACAGAGATCAACTGTAGCGAATACTGCAAGAACAAGCTCCACAGTTGACATGGTAAAAAATAGGAAAGTGTGATAGGATTCAGAATGATTTCCTGTAGTTTCAATTTCCTCTTCTCCAACCCTCATACTTAAGCCTTTAAATAATCGATTTCTGCACTGCCGATGCGTGGTTTAGCCGAAAGTACAGTACAACAATCTGACACTTGTGCAAATAAAACAGGTTGCTCGGCATTTCTCGATCCAGACTTGCCGACAATCTCTTTCAAGATTAGGACGTGGCGCTTGCTTGCTTGGATCTAGTAAGGTTGACTTAGGGCTCTGAGATGCTACTTTGTAAAAACAGTGTTATCGGGCGCGGCGCTTGACTCGGTATTTCTAAAGCCAACAAATGGGCGAGGAATGTCTAAAAATAGTGTAAACATAACAGTGTTTAAAAAAACAAAAAAAGAGAGAGAGAGATGGGTAGCTCAAGGTACTGTACATGTGTTATTGTATTCAGTAAGCAAATACATAGAGCAGGCGGATGGGCACTGCGCACGTTGTCGTCGCATTCTTAGACTTACAATAGTTCAACCACCAACAATTCCATCACATGTATCTTAATTGAGGAAACAGAAGGGCTGTGTCTGCCTCGCTATAAAAACTATCTAACACAGTAAGATTCTACTCAGTAAGAAAACCTGTGGGTATTTTTGATAATTTATATTTGAATCTCAATTTAAAAGAGTTAAAGCACAGTTGGATATAATAATGTCTAAATAAAATCAATTCTTTCCACGAAGTAGTTTTACAAAAAGACATGCATTATGAAAGAATCTGGGCTGAGAACAATCTAATCGTGGCTCTTTCTACCAAATAGATTTTCTACAATAGAGTAATCCTAAAGTAGAGTAATAAAAACAGCTGTAAATCAAAAAAGCAACTCACCATATTAAGAGTAAGAACAACATAGATTTTGATTCTCCTGTTGAAAGAACCAAAAAGGATGAAAATTGGCAGCGGAACAAAGTCTACAGGAGGTGGAAACTCCTTTTCTTATAAAGCATATTCTTTATTCTTGACTTTCACACATCTAAAAGATAGCAAAAGTTCTTTCTAGAAAATATAACTTATATTCCACAATGTCCACCAATGTGCAGTTTGCACCTCAGCAGACTGCGGGAAACTAAGATCAATGTCGGCCCTTATACTTTGTCGTACACCTGGTCCAAATCGTGCCACGTCACAACACCTTGGGCCCTTTATGCCTAGTATCTCATACCTCAGGGTGCAGAGTTCAAGCCCAAATACAATAAGCCACGAACCCGAAATTCCGAACTAACATTTTCGTCCACAATTAGAATCTTACAAATTTCGCACCTTTGATGGCTCTACTAACTGCTGCAGCATTCTGAGGACCCAGGGAAAATATAATCGAGGAGAAAGGACTTCAAAATACTTGTGCACTTCGACTTGAACGGCTCCGGAAACTTCAGCAGCGAGGGTGGTTGGTAAGGTGTATCCGACATGGATTGAGTAGCCTAGCAATGTACGGGGCAGCTGTGTGTAGGCCGGCATCTCTACTCCGTAGGCTAGAAAGCATGACCATGCAGCACCAACAGATGCTGAGTAGCATTGCCACACGACTAGCGGAATGCACTAAGCTGAGTTATGTAGTTGATAGGTTTCTTACTAGTTTAGTAGTAACAGGAAGTTATCACCAAACAAATGCATCTCGTGACCAATGAACCGGGCGCATCCCAGCTTCCTGAAACTTTTATTCGCCTCCCACATCGCGCCTATCAAGGCTCGGTTCTAGAGTCCAAGAGAGATATTCTCGCGCTGTATCCAAGTTTTTGACCCCTGCTCTTTTGTGACCGGTTTTCTTGTGGTGCTTAATACCTTAACTCTTCCCGCCCTGTTTCCGTATCAATTGACTTGGCTGGGTTTTAGTACTGCTTGCTGACGGAGGTGAATATAGATAATTTTACAAACACGTATTGATAGGAAGCGGTAGGTAGTAGGCTGTACTGTAGTCGGTAGTGAGTATTAGTTATGAGCGTTGTTACCCGTCCACATTTTTGACGGGGAATCACTTATTGCGTCAAAGGCCATTTCCACTATCGTGTTGATGTAAGTTGATACCCATTCCAGAGGTGATTAAAGCCCTTTAATGTTAACCAAACACTCCACAATTGACCATGTATCTTCTTCGCCCTAGAGGGATCTCAACTCTAAATGAAGACAAGTTACTAGCAATACCTCATTGCATCTCGAATTTAATCTATGACAGATGCTGGCTTGGCGGTAAGTACTCGTGTATATACATTAGTAAGCTAGCGATTCCCAATAGGTTTTTCGCTTCCGCAATACATAAGCCTTGAAAATTGAAAAATATCAATACTAGTATTGTCGAAAATAATAGTATTCAAGCGCTTGTCTTGAAGTGTGAGAGACTAAGTATTCTCCCAAGTCTGCTTATGGGGTAGGAAAGCAGAGATAAACCATGCACAATATGTCAAGATACTACTGATATTTTCACCATACAATCATGCCAGCTGTGCAGGCAAAAGCCTTGACTTATTTGAAAAGTCCAAACTATTATCAGCTTAGAGACCTCATCTTCAAAGCTTGAGTAAAAAGAACGTATCTTCAGTCATGTATTTCTGCTTCGAAGATTGAATTCTTGATTATGTTTCAAAGAGTCTTCCAACAAAGCCAATGCTCATATATACAGATTGCAAACAGCGACAAATACGATGAATGAGAAGGTGCTGGAAACCACATATGAGAAACGAAACAAAAGATAGAACAGGATCTAATAGAGCTAGTTTCGGGAGGGGTAGGCATGGCCTAGGACGTCTAGAGGCCTCATGATGTCTAGGTGATATTTTGTTGTATGAGAAAAGTCATTGTATTTCAGCCCGAAAGACAAGTAAAGTTTAACAAGAATTCATTGAATACTCTCTTTAGAGGCCTGTGTTCTTCTCAGCTTCAAGACTAAACACACCAGAATGATCACAATCACACTTCTTTGTGACCTATTTTATAGTCAAAATGTCACTCTCTACTCGTGAGTTGTATTTCAAGCTACATTGGGTCTATGGCCTTTTCAAAACGTGAAATTAAAGTAATCATGAATTATTGAACAACGTCAAGGTCGAAGATGCTTACCCCGCTTGATCTTGCAGCGAGCTGAGCCACTCTGGTCATCTACCAAAGAAGCAAAAAGTCGCAGACTAAAGCGAGACAAGACCGAGCTTTCAAATGCATGTTAGACCAAACGATAATGATTGGATAATTACATTACTGTACAGACTGGCCGAACATCCTTGAAAGTTGAAAGAAATCATTAGATAATACCGACAAAACTTAGTGATTTAATCACTTCTTCCCCGTTTTAACCCAGACCAGGGCCCTCCGTCTATTTCCCCTCTATCCATCCCCGCATCACACCACCCCATACAATGTCCTCGACCTCGACTAACGATCTTATCAGCACATGGAGGCTCAGAGCCCGGATTTATCACGATTCCACTCATCATGAATTTATTGAAACCGGCAACTGGAAAAGTCTATTTCGAAGGAAGAGGGAGGAACATTTGGTACGGAAAAAGTATCTGGGGCGCGGTACTTTCGGGCAAGTTTGGTTAGAGACCTGTTCCATCGGTGGAGGGGGACAAGCCAAGTTTCGTGCAGTGAAAATAGTGTCAAAGGTCGCCCTATCAGCTGACGGCATGGATTACACACGCGAGCTTGAAGCAATGATCCGGTTGTCGCAGTCTAAATATGACGCCTTCTTTGTGAAGTTTTTGGGTTGGTTCGAAGATCCGAGCTCGATTTATATCACTATGGAGTACCTTGAAAACGGAGATCTGGAGAAGCACTTATCCAAGCAAGCTTTACCGGAAGTTGAGACACGGCAAATAGTCTTTCAGGTGCTTAAAGGGCTGGAGTTTTTACACGAGAGTGGATTCGCCCACCGCGACTTAAAGCCCGAGGTAGGTATTATTGTGTTATTCTCACAATCCGGCTCAGAAGGCTTTTCCCCTATCTCACTCGCGAAGTCAAAAACATTGTAAAAGCCGAAAATGGCAGAGGCAGCTAACTATGGGACGTAGAACATTTTTGTCGTTCAGGGAGCTCCCGACTGGTACGTCAAAATCGGCGACTTCGGTATCAGCAAGCGGGTGGTGGACGAAAATACCCAATATCGCACGATGGGTGTTGGTACGCCCGGGTACTGGGCCCCAGAGGTACTAGGAGAAGTGATTAGCATGCACAAAGACAGGGCCGGCAATATGCAGTATACACGTCTCGTCGACATATGGTCTCTCGGTGTCATAACCTTTTATATTTTGACGGGATCTTTACCATTCGAGAAACTGGCAGAGCTCGTGGCTTTCGTCCATGGAGGTCCATTTCCAGACTCAAAACTGGTAAATGCAAGGTTAAGTGAGAGCAGCAAAGATTTTATCCGCTCCTTAATCGTCGTCGAACCTGCCCAGCGTCTCAACGCCAGCCTCGCTTTAGGGCACTCGTGGTGGGATTCCATGCATCTGACTCATAAGCCAGGCCTCTTTGAAAATTCATCTCTCCGCGGTAGGTTTGACACCAATGCCCATAGTCCCGGACCTTATCACAATTGTTTCCGTGACTGCATTTTATTTGAGGAAGGAACAGAGAGGAAACAGTCTAAGATGAGGAATCAAGGCTTACGACATTACATATAGGTCCTGAGGATGCATCGAAATCACCAATCGCAGATCTAGCAGCACCACAGCTGGACTCTACGCCTACCACGGCGGATTCTATCAGCTCATTACATTCAAGTTTCGTGCAAATAGATAAACTGACTGATCTCTTTGACGGGCACAAGTTTCCTGGCACCATAAGCGACAGCTGGGTCAGCAGGGTCAAGGGGCTTTTAGAAGGGGGTGCATATGTCGACTCAACCTTCCAATGCGGCTGCACTACTCTACACCTCGCAGCGCAGGATAACCATATCGAAACAATGATAGTCCTCCTGCACCACCACGCGAATCCAAGAATTCAGAATGATCACGGATGGACGCCTCTTCATGCCGCCGCAAATGCAGGCCAATTTGAAGCAGCAAGGTTGCTTCTCATGCATGGAGCTGCGGATACTGCAAATCTCGGTAACAAGGATGGCTGGACACCTCTCCATGAAGCGGCCTACAAAGGTCACCAAAGGATTTGTGAGCTGTTGCTGGGCCACGGTGCCGAGATTGATAAGGATGACCGGCTTGGCCGGTCTGCTTTGTTCGTCGCTGCGGGCGGGGGCCGTTTGTCTACGGTGAATCAACTGCTGTTGTCCAACGCCAGTATTACCAAGGTAGGGGAGCGTCGACGGTCTGTTTTGCAGGAGGCGGTAAAGGGCCGTAGTCCAAAGGTGGTTCGGCTTCTACTCGAGCACGGCGCCGACGTCACAGCCAAAAATGAAGATGGATGGACCCCACTGCATGAGGCTGCTTTTCAGGGTGCTCTGGAAATCTGTAAATTGTTGGTGAATGCAGATGCCCCGATCTCGACAAAGGACGCGGTAAATAGAACTCCGCTGTACCTTGCGAGGTCTCGCAACCACCTTGGAGTTATAGAGTATCTGGAGGCTTTAGAAGGGCACGAGCATGATCTGTAAAAGTGCAGCATAAGTGCTCAAAGTGTCCCGGAAAAAGATCACCAACAGTCATGTATGAAGTGGATTGTCAGATACGATTATTTCCTAAACATTTTATCTACATACTTAATTCATTATTCTAACAATTTCTGACATGCTCAATGACAAGCTAATGAACAGGGCCATTGATCGTTCCTCTAAGCATGGCTCTTAGAATAAAACGGGAAATTGCTTGGATTCAGTCGATTAGGGTCTGCTTTTACTGAGGTGTCTAGATATTTCTATCAGCAAGGCATTGTTTTGCTTTTAGTATACAGGATTACAAAATCATCTTACTTAACATAATTGGTAAGCCACCTGCTATGGTAAGCCACCCGCCATCCGCGCGTCTTAATCTCGCGTTCTTTAATATAAAATAATTCAACTACTAATAATTCTATTAAATATATCTTAATTATTAAATTCTTTAATAGAATAAGAAGACCGAATCTATCTTACTATTAAGACTATTTAAAAAAGCAAAATTGCTTTTATAATAAAAATAATATATATTTTTAATATTTTATATTTAATCTTATAAAAACACCTGCAAGAAGTTAATACAAAGTTAAATAAATATATTAACTTTATAAAATTAATTTATTTTAAAAAAAGACTTTAAAAAATTAGATTTTTTTATTTATAAAGTATAAGCTTTATTCCCGGTTGTTATATATTCGGAATATAGTAATAATTCTTTTATAAAAATAGGACCTAAATTTTATAATTTCTGTAGATAAAAAATAGATATATAATTTTATTAAATATATTTTAGAATTAAAGAATTAATTTTCTCGAAGATATTATATTTAATATATAAAATATAAAAATCTAAAGCTTTTAATTATGTAGTTTAACTATATTAAAGCTGTTAAAAAAATATGTAAAATTTTAATAAAACTAGTTTTACTATAGAAATAGTAGCTATAGTCTGTATAGTTATATAGTCTAACTATATAAATAAGCTATTTTTTATATAATTAGAAAATTAAGAATAAGTAACTTTAATTAAGTATATAAATATAGCTAGTATAATATTATTACTATATTTAATTTTTAAAAATAAAATTTATATAAAAATAGAATATTAAAATCTTTTTTTTAATTAGTATATTAATTTATTATTAAATAAATAGACTTTTAATAATATTAGTTTATATTAGTTTTATAAATATTTTATTTCTTTTATTAAAAATTAGTAAATTAGGCGATATAGTCTTTTAATTTTTAATAAATATAATTTTTATTTAATTACTAATTTTAATAATATATATAATTAAAATATTATTATTTCTATTTATATATATATATATTTTTTATATTTTTATTAATTATTTAATATTACTTGTTTTATACTATTAAAATAAGTATATAAAAGTTTAGTAGAACAGTTTATTTACTAGAATATTTATTATATTAATAAGATTAATTTTTTAAATATATACTTAGAAGTATATTCTTTTATTTTTTTAAAAAATTAACTATTTATAATATTTTTAAGATTTTAGGATTAGTTTTATTTGAATTAGATAAGATATCTAGTAGACTAATTGTATAATTTTATAAATTTATTCTAACTAGTAGTATTACTATTATATTAATTATATTAAAAATATTTAAAAATATAAAATAATTATAAAAATATAAAATTATTATTAAAAAACTTTTTTTATAAATATATAATTAGCTTATTCTTATAAATAAAAACAGTATTATTTTATATTATAAAAAAATATAAAATTATTTTTAATTAGGCTGCTTTATTTAAGCAAGAAGTTAATAAACTATAAATTAGATTAAAATAATAAAATATTAAAAATAAAAGATCTTATTATTAAATAGCTGGTCTAAATAATCTTACTGTTAATAAGACTAAAAATATATTTAAAAAAATTTATAAAGCTGATTAAATTAATAAAAATTAATTTAAAAAATCAGCTACTAATAAGAAATAATCTTACTACTGGATACTATCTTGCTGTAGTAAGTATAATATAGTTGAATACATAAAAATAAAATATTTTATATATTAAAATACTAAATAAATATATTATTTTATTAATATATATTATATAAAAGCTTTATATTTTTATGGAAGGCTGTTTTGGTGGGCGCGGGTGGCGGGTGGCTTACCATGGCGGGTGGCTTACCGATTACGTTAGCGGAGATGACAGGCTTTGTCAGCGTGGCTAATCCGGCCACGTGACTCAGAAAGCCTTTTTCACCTTGTTTACAAACAGGCAACGCAGATAGTTCCAACCACAAAGAAGATTAAGAGATTTGTCCCAGCACCCTACTTCTAAACCTTCAAACTCGTCGTCAATCATGTAGCTTTGAAACACCCGGCTATATATACCTTTGTGCAAAGCTAATACTAGAGATGATGAAGTATCTCAAAAATAATCAGTAAGGACTCAATGGCTATCATGCTAAATTGCCAGCCCGCCTTGCGATTTAGTGGAAAATGAAGACCTTGCGAAAGAGGATCGGTAGTTAGGGGGATGACGCCACCGTGTTTTCGGTTTTAATGTACGTACTCGTTGGCGGCCCTGCGGCCTTAGCAGCCAGGCTACGGTAGCTCGTCGCCCACCTCATTGGTTCTTAGCCACGTACGTTAGTCTGAAAGTATTGTTTATTCATGACCTCCATAAGGACCGGCAGTACTACTTTCGAGGCCAGGCTTTACTATGTGCGAAATTGAATCATATTCGCATTCTGATGACGAGAAACATGTACATATGTTACTGCTGGGGAGAAGAAAAATTGGATGAGCCTTAGCATGGCGAAGTCCCAGTAGAATAGATTTGTATTTATAGTGGATGCGAACCTACTCATCCCGAAGATCGGCCACCTTCTTTTGTCGAATCTTTTGATGATGTCAAGGCGAGCCCCAAGTCGATTAATAACATCACAGAATAATGCAAAACCGAAACTCTCTGGCTTCCACCCACTCCACAATAGCATACAATCGAAAGTTTGGGCTACCGGCACAATCAGTATACAGACCTTAGTGGATCACTTTAGGTCATTCAAAGATATAGTGCTAAGGGTATTGCGTGCATGCATGCAGCAACGGCTTGCGGCCATAGCTGGGAAAATTGACGTTGGCCACATTTTATATCAAGAAAAGTTGGTGACATTGAACAAATATTCAAGTGACAGGCTTTCCTTATCGTGCGAATGCCTGAAAAGGTCAGCTCTCTGTATAGCTTTACGATGCTAGTATCCAACTACATAATTGGAGTGGCTACAACAACATATTCCGCGATCGACATTTAATGGAGTTCCCGCAGTATGATCTCGCGATGCGGGAGCAAGTGGAAAGCAAACGAGAGAGGGGCTACAAACCTCAATCTAATCAACCACAAAACGATCTGGGAGCTATAGCTTGTATTCTAAGACCTTAGAGGGAATTCCTCGTCACGACGTTGGCTACGCCGCCACATGAGGTGAAGGAATGATTCTTTGCAATACTTTCGGATGCGTGATCTTGAAAAGATCAGACTGGGACTGCCATGCCTGCACCTTTTTTGGGATCGACATTTTTGATCGGGTGCAATAGCATGGGAGGAAGGCACATATTTCCATATAGGTCTTCTCTCTATCATGAGAAAGAAGGAGGGGAAAAGTTAGCAAGTAGATACAGAGGTGGTCAGCTTGACGGGATGAACTCACCAAATCACCACCATCAAACCAGTTTCTTCCTTGAGGATCTTGATGCTGTTGATATCACAGTATTAGTATCATGGCTAATGAGGTCGTAAATCCACCCACACGCAATGAGCTCTCCAGACTTACATAGGAGCCGTCAGTATATTGATTCGGGTCAATCTTGTATCCAAGCCACCGCCTGAATAAATCCTCGGCTGTTTGTGTAGTGAACATATATGACATCCGATAAATAATGTGATCCCATTGATGATTCCAGCTCCAGATACTATCTGAGCCACCGTTAATTTTCTCCGGTGTGCCCGGATTGAGGATACGGCCCAACTCTTTGGGAGTCCACTTGCCGTCGAGGTATATCGGATGAGGGACGTGAACCACCTTTAAGCCGTGCCATAGTGCAAATGAGGGGGCCGTCATCTCTGAAGCAAGGCCTATTCCTTTGTCTGCCAGAGCTTCATGCATGAGGGTAATTAACCTCTTGGAGATGCGGCCCATAACGACCGGAGATGCACGCCTTGGGAGATCTTGAACATTGATATTCCAGGTCGTGTCCACGAAAGGCCATTCAGTCGATGATGGATCGAAAATTGGTAAGAAGGTCAGGAAATCTGCCTCCTCCCCGACCCCCCATTCATATTCATCGTTCCGAGGATCGTCAACGGGTGGCTTAGGGCCCGTTGGCGTGATACCAGGGGGAAACTGCGCTCCCCACACAGAAGTTCGACCCTCCATTGCCGTGTTAACTAATCGTGTGAAAGATTCCCAGGTGCCATGGGTCCCCGGTATATATAGAAATGAATTCCGTTCCCAGAGATATTTGCGGGGTTGTTGCCTTGCAAAGTCTTCTGCGCGTTCGAAGAAGTGAAAATTATTAACAGTCAACCTCGCATCCATTTCAAGCTGCCAGAAGTAATCAAAGTCTGGCCTCAACTGCGAAAGGATCTGTGAGGCCTGCCAGTACTGGAGCACGGGACTAGTTTTATTAGACAGTTCCAGTTGCCTTGAAATTGGGTTCCTGCCGTACCTGTGCTCTTCTATCTTTGGATACCACCCCGCAAGTGTGTCATCGTTAAACATTATTGTCATGTCAAGAAACTCTCGAGGAACGTATTTTTCTCTCAGCTTGCGGACAGCATCGTCGTCGGACGCGTAGAGCGGAACTTGCTTATCCTTGACGTGGAGAAGAATAAAAACCTCGTACTCGGCGCCTGTATGCAGCGAAGTTTCCATTATCAGCGACCGGATATGTTGCTTGAGGTTCTCGGTCCATTCCATCGTGTGCCACGCACGGAGTATTATTGCAGACCTTGACCTTGGTTGTTTTCCTTGTGTTGAGAACTGGGGACGATCCGGATGTGGAGGCATCGAAGCGCTGATTGGAAATGTAAGCATAGGTTCTGACAATCCGACATTTGAACTGAATCTGCCGCTATTCCTTTCCAAACACTCTAATTCAAGCCTTTTCCAATTGATGTTGTCCCAGGAAAGCATCTCTCTCCCTCCTGGTCTTCGTCTTGTGAGATGCTCGTCATTGTATCCGTACGGGCTCAGACGTGAAACACGATCTGTGCAAACCCAAGCGTCTAGCCCCATTGCCTCGTAGGAACCGATCAATGGAAGGGGGAAATCTGCAAATCCTATCAGTCCAGCTTCTGCTTCCATCGTGGTGCTGAAGTACTTCTTGGAACTCCTGGATAAACAGAGACCATGTCCCTAGGACTTCTACGATCAAGGTTTTGACCAGAGGGACCTCGGCATCGGCGAAAGCGGCCGGTGAACGCATCGCGAAATTCACCAGATTCGTAATCAGGATATGGGTCATATATTAGCGGGCTTGAAGGAGGTAAACCATTTGTGGTCAACACGGTGAGGGTTCCGCCCTGATAGAACCTCTCTTCCCTGTGTTCAGACTACTCAGTCTCATGCTCGAGATTTCTTGGGAGCTGTTCATCACTGACCTGACGTCACGCAATGTGCCCAGCCCAATAGGCTCATGAGGAAATGGCGAAGTATCTTGCGATGGGTCGATTTGTCGAGAACCAACCGCAGTCATTCCAGGTCGCAAAATGATTGATCTGGGGATATCAGTACAATGTCTTTGGCAGAACTCTCAATTCACTTGATTACCTTTTTATCAAGACGTTGTGATATGTCCAGATAGAGAACAGAGCCAAGAATGTATAGAACGCCCAAAGGCTGCGACGAGTGAGGTGGGAAGAATATTGGGAAAGGAAAAGGGTGCCACGAGACCAAGGTCTTGGCCAACTCATATTTGTTTACATATACCGTGAGGGTCATGAAAATTCGGGTAATTTGAATGAGAAGAATATGCTTAGTATGTGAGCCGTCGAAAATATGGCTCTAGCATGAAAGGGGGGCGTCTCAGGATGCTCTTATGGCTAGAAAGCTGAGCGGTTTCTTTTGCGGGTCGTGACCTCTCTTAGCAAGTTAGGGCGCGTTAGAACTCATGGGCGCCAAGCCTTAATGAAGACAAGGAATCAGAAGAAAGTGACGGGGAAGGCCTTACAACATAGGACTGAAGCGACGCCCAATACAAGCAAAGTCAAAGGTTCAAAGAGAGACCTGAAGTAGCACAGTCACAATGTCGAGTTTCCGTACAGATGTGCTTCGCACTGACAGATCGAGGGTTCCGTGGTCGTTGAAGTTAAATTATGAGCCTGACTGATGCCACGAATTTTTTTGGGATTTTGCCTGGAGAGCTGGACGGTTAGAGGCTTTGGAAAAGGGGTTATCATATCACCAAGAGTTGAAGTTTTGGTCCATGGAAGGGCTAGCAGCAACAACGCATTGGAGACGAGCGAGAACAAACCGACCACCTTTGCGCTGAACCTGGACTTAAGCGCCCTAGACGGAATAATCTAGGTGTGTAGGCTAGAATGAAGCATCATTAGCAGCCAATAGCATAAGATGTTGTGGAGGCAGTGGCTGCAATGGTCATTGAACTAGATTTGTAACGCAACTGCCCCACTAGTGAAAAGGGTCTAGCATCGCCTAAAATCCCTAGTGCTTATAGCGTGCTTGACCGGTGTTCACATGCCTCAATGGATTGAAGACAATTGGTGAAGTTGTATTAAAAGGTGTCCATCGACTAAGACTTATTAGGAAAGCTAAAGCTGAGCCAGAGAGGCTTGTAAAATAAGCACGATTTGTCCGATACCCAAGCGGACCGTGCTGTGGCGTACACCGTGTACCGTACAATAAGATTAAATTACCAAACGCAAAGAAGGATGAACAATAAATGAAATTATTGGTTGTAGATGGTCAATCCCCAGCCAACATAGCAAGTTGTATCGCCTTGTCATCTTTTGTATCAGTTACATGATATATTCAAGTTCTGGACAAAGAGTCTTCTTTGGTATAAGCTTGGATGTTATAGTGGTGATTACGCCAGTTGTTCTGTCAGACATTGTAACAGTGATATAGTTTATAGAGGCAGAGAAATCTGCTGTAAAAAATTTAGGGTATTGGTTCAACGATGTACGCCTTTCTTTTTATTGAATGTGCTGTTAAAGTGATTCCTATATTAATTCTTGTGTATCGTGACTGTAATCTCATTTGGTTGTTCTGTATATTTCTTTTCCAGATTGTAAAATGATTGAATATAGTGGGTAATTTGATTAAGAGTAATTTATTATACATGAGCTAATTCACGTAGAGTGGGGCGTCTATAAGCGCTACATGGCCCGGCTCCGGGCCCGGCAACCAGTAGATAAACTACGTATTGAACCTCTGCCCCAATTTGCGAGTCACCAGTCCCGGCCACCCACCACCCGCGGCCCCGGCGGGCCGGACCAGTCTGGCTGACCTCTTGCCTTTTTGATGATAGTAGAGAGCAAGCTCTTGTCAGACTAGTATTGGTGTTACGATAAGAACGTACCAGATCTTATGGATCAGCTGCCTGTCGCCATTGATTCCTTAAAGTGTGTGGAAATAATTCAATAAAAGATGTTATCCCAGGTCCCGATTCCTCTCAATCATAGTATAGGGCCCCGCGTACCCCTGAACACAACGCACCTTCCAAACACGCATGGTCCCCAATCAGTGTTTAGACAAAGAACAGACGCCAACAGTCTGTTTAAGATAAAACTATCCGGAGAATAGAAAAAATTGTCCAGAAATTATTATATCCTCCCTGGTTGGATAATAATGTAGAGAAGTTGAAAACCTAATACGGAAGACTTTCAGAAGAGACCTTATGCGTTCTTTCTGTCTTTCTTACTTAGGAATGTGCCCATAAAAGCTCTTAGAGAGGCCTGATCGCTTGAATCATTGCAAGTAGTATCTTAGAAGGTTCGTGGAAAAGCTAAACTGGTAAATGTGTCGCGGTGATAAGATTTCTATCAGTATTTCACACTTAATCCAGAATGGCTAACTTGCAATCGCTATACAAGGAATTTCAAAGGGTTGGGGACTGAAGATAAATCTCTTGTATAGAACATGCAGTGGAAAGCAGTTGGAAAACGCGCTATTCGCGAATGCTTGAATTCTTTGAAGTCTATTTGCTCCGCACTGCATCTAGAGCTCGGGCCTCATGGTCCAGGTACCGTTCGGTGATTCAAACCTTGAGTAGGTAAGCGAAGTGGCTCGATGAGCTGAACTGATCAGATCGTTAGGGACACATGAGTGGCTGGGTGGACACCAAACCATGACAAGGGTTTCTTCCTTCGGTCTCCATAGAAATCTTGGACAATCCCATGCCCCACCCACACTTCCCACAACCTTGAAAATGAGTTTTTGGACGCTTTTGCCTCCGCAAGCTGCTTCTATAGCATAGCGAGATTTTTCTTGTACCGCATTCTTCGGCTGTACGGAAAGTGATATAATCACAAGCCCAAGCTGTCCCTCGTTTACCACTAATAGTGGCTGATGAGGGGCTCATTACTATAATCAGAAAGTGTTCCCTACGCCCCCCATAGACGGAACCCCGGTAGAATAGTTTGCGCCGTCAGCCAAGCAGGGAATATGAGAGCTCGGGGGCGGCGAGGGTTGTTTTGGTGACTTGAGGCAACCAATTATTAGTTGATCAAAACGAAAGGCGCAATCGACAGCCGACCTGGAAGTTCGCCTTGCCACGGGTAAGCAAACTTCCTCCGCGCTCCTCACAGGGGTCCATTACAAGGCAGGCTCGTTTCTACTTTTGCAATCATGTTACATTTCTGAAAGAACATGAAATTCGCTCGGGTGATAGAGAAATGACTGTGTTCCGAGTTTTCCGTAGTTGGGTGAACGGGCTGGTGGTTTTGGGTGTTTAGGCGAGCAGCTTCACTTGCTCGTACAAATCAATCCGAAGCAACCTCTAAATTAGCGCCGAGTTCCTTACTAGTGTTAGTTCGGTACCAAATTAGAAAGACATTGCGGTAGTCTGAGTCCCTGCGACTAGCAAAGGCAAAGCAGGTTAAAGTCCCTACTCCGTGTTTTTGATAGGAAATACACCGCACAGGCACTAGTAGAAAAACACTCCCTTGTCCTCTTAGACTGTCTAGTATAAAGGTCCTCAATTTCCTGTGCGCTCTCTTGTGGGGAACCACGCCCGCAGTCTTGCCAAATTCCTGCTCTTTCGATAATTGTCCATCAGTGCCCTATTGCAGCAGCATGGGAGCAACATGCTACTACCCCGATGGGAAAACCATAGATGAAAAAGGTACCCCTTGCAACTCTGACGGAAGCCAAGGAACTTGCTGTGCTCCCGATGCAGTATGTCTGAGTAATGGTTTATGTCTCTCGGTGAACCAACCCTTTGGACTGTCACGTGGGAGCTGTTCCGATCAATATTGGCATGCTTGCAAGCACATATGCTGTGAGTCTCAGAGCCTGGTCAACTCCCCGGGGTTTCTCGTACTCATCCTTTTCTGTATCAATTACAGTTGATGCACAGCTTTCCGGCGGATCTGCAATTGTCTATCTCAACGGGACGGGCGAAGACTCGCTGTATTGTTGCAATTCCATCGTTGCCGACCAAGGAAACACCACCTGCAGTGACCTATCCGGTGGTTACCCGCAGTCTCCATTCAACCTTACGGACGCGACTATTGTGTATGGGGTCGCTGCTCTATCTAATATGACCCGCCCGACATCCTCCGCCTCAACTTCGACCGCCTCAGATTCGACCTGCTCGGCTACATCTAGCACAGGTTCCGCCAACCATCAAACGGGTCCCAGCGTCACAGCGGTCGGCGTAGGAGTTGGTGTGGCCCTAGGAGTTGTTGCAGTTGCCTCCCTCATCTGGGCTATATGGGAGCGAAGGAAAAGAAGGCTCACAACCACCAGTACGAGCGCCGCGCCCGCGTTTCTTGAGCTTACTAGTCCTAATCCCAAGCCCGGACACCAGAATACTACGAGCGAGCTATATGGTTCTCAGTTAGAACCGGCGGAGCTACATGGGGGTAGGACACAATGAGGACGCGGTGTATCAAAGGCAAAGGAATGAATCCCGTGGCATGTAGTTATATCGCTATACTGTACTACGAGCACGGACACGTTCATCAGACTGTTCTACGCTACTATTTAGACGTTACCAAGAACAATCACCTCTTCCCGTCCCAAAATGTCGACATCCAGCAACCCTGCAGAAGCATCAATCTTCTTCACGCCCAAAACCTGCATAAGGTCTGCCTCGGCGAAATTCTCGACCTCTGACACCTCGATTAGCACCCTCGCTTCGCAACCGAGCGACTAACGTTCATAGATACGATGCTGCAACTGCTTTCAATAACTTTGAACGATAAGGTCTTTAATCTATTTCAACAGTTGATTGAGATGTCGCAATGGTGTCGCCAGAGCAAAGGATGTTGCAGTTATCCTGCACAATGGGTAAAGCAAATATAGTGTCACCTTCTCAGCACCTATAAGTAGATGTGAACATGACCTGTTACACAAAGCAGACACTGCTCTGAGGACCACCCGCCCAGATTTTGATTCTTGAGCTTCGTCCACAATGGAGTCTTTTTCGTTCTCCAGAACACTTGGCTCCGCGCTTGCCCTCATAGCCAGTTTAGGACCTCTGGCATCTGCGCTGAGCGTTTCAGGAAATCCTTTGGCTACTTCGGATCAGCGAGACCTCGATGCCCTGGCAATCGAGATCTATCAAGACAACAGCTTCCCTGTTCTAAAAGCTGAAGCAAAGGCGGCCTACAAGACGGCTCACGGGTCGCCCATCAGCGACGAAGCTTCCTCGAGTCTCGACGCGGCAATCGAAGAACTCATCTTCAGCTCTGTCCAGAAGGCCGTGAACAACGACCCATACTATCCAAAAGTCTATTGGGTCGATGCTGGTCCGCGGGACTGGTTTAATCTTGAGGTACCAGGTGGACGATACTCCTACGACAATCCGGACTGCATCTATCGCACCATTCCGATCAGCTCCGACGTGGACTATATCGTGACGGGCTATCGCCACGCACCAGGCCCGACCGACGTCAGCTTCTCCCTGATTAGCGACCCAAACTCCCAGAATACCGTGGCCTATCTTGCCGGTAGTGATCTGGTCATCGCTAGCGATGGCTCGTATAGTATCACGATCAACAGCTCTGCCGCAGACGACCAGTCGAACCATATCCAGTCAACCAGTTCAGCCGTGCAGCTCTTGATTCGAAACAACCTTGGAGACTGGCTGTCCGAGACACCGGACAGCATCACCGTGGAAGCAGTCAGTGATGTGACCAGTCACGACGCCATCACCAACGCCCAGATCCTCGTGGATGCCAAATGGAACCTGCAGGAATCCATCGTCGACTACGGAGTGGGGGCACTGGGGCTCAAGACATCAATCTACGCGGTGAACACGCTCTCCACGCCCAGCCAGTCCAGCACCCTCGGCACCCTGACGACCCAGGCGAGCTCATTCGGGCACTTCAACCTCACCGACGACGAGGCGCTCGTCGCCACCCTCACGCCCGGAGCGGCCGACTACTTCGTCTTCCCCGTGACGGATCCGTGGCTGGTGACCACTGACCCCGCCAGTCAGGTCAGTCTGAACAGCAAGCAGTCCGTCGCCAATGACGATGGCACCTACACATTTGTTGTGTCTGTCGCGGATCCCGGGGTCTACAACTGGGTCAACACGACTGGTCTACACGAGGGCACGATCATGGTGCGCTGGCAGGGTTTGAGCTCGTCGTCCAGCGACTCTGTCGCTATCCAGGCTCAGACCGTCGCGCTTTCAGACTTGGCATCCGTCCTTCCTAGCGAAACCCGTTACGTGACTGCACAGGAGCGCGCGGTGCAGCTTGCCGGTCGTGTTGCCGGCTATGCTTTGCGTTTAGAATCCTGATGGGCTTGACGGTGATTATACTGATGGAGACGCTTGATCCTTTGATTTCGGAGCCAAGGAGGTCGAGCCCAACGGATTCAGGCAGGGCCCTCGAGGGAAGGTTCGGGATAGTAGGTATTAAGTTCGGGAGGGTATGCTGAAATAAAATATGAAATCCAAAGTGAAGTAGAGAAAAGTGTTAACTTTCTTTGTAAAGAAGACATTATGTAAAACTGGCACTTCGGCTTCCTGGGTTATATAGTCAGTAGCTTCCGGCTGTATGATAAAGTGCAGCCTAAATGCAAGTCTACCGCACTGATGTTCACCGACAAGATACAGATTGCCCCATCCAGGCAACAAATTAACCAGGATCAGAGTATAGTACTGTACCCGGTGCGGGGAAAGACTACCAAGTGATGTACAGTACATTGTGGTTATTTACGCCTGGCCTTGGCTCTCTGAATTAGGCTAGTCGAAATATCAATCTAATTTAGTCGCTGACCTTTACACCAGGCACCCATCATTAAGCATGCATAAAAAACCCTCAACCACGCTTGATCGACCGTCACAAGTTTGGTCATTCTACTAAGCTTCAAGACTCAGAATCCCCCCTCAAGAATCTGCATTTTATGCTGTCGCGCACACAATGGTGGAACGAATCTGTTCAGTATCAGACCCCAACCTTGAATCCCTCGACGCAGACTCTCTTGATCTTGACATAGACTCCCTGGACCTCACACCTCTCGAAAGACCCACAAATATTGCAATCATAGGTACGTCTCAGTAGCGCTGCCAGCAGCTCTCAGGTCCCGTCGACTCACGGCATACCCAGGAGGCGGCATCGCCGGCATATCCATAGCCTACGAGCTACGCAACCGGAAATCAGCCACATGGTGCCCCGAAGTGACCCTCTTTGAGCGCGATGACCGCCTGGGCGGTCGGATTCACAGCGTGTTCAAATACGACGAGGGTCGCGAGGTGGTCGAAGCGGGTGCTGCGTCTTTCTGGTGGGAAGACTGGCGTCTCCGACGTCTCTTCCAGGAAGCAGGGGTCGAACTCGTGGATCCCCACGGTCGGAAAATCCGGGACGAGCCACAGAGCCGCAGCGTCGGGATCTTCGATGAACGGGCTATTGTCGCGTCCAAATTGTCGGGTCCGGAGACGTGGACGCACTTTGCGAAACTGGTCTGGCGGCATCGCTGGTCAGGCTGGTTCTGGCTGCGCCTATGCATTCAGTTTGTGTCGATTGCGCGGGAGAGTAGGTACTGGAGAGACTGGCGGCAGATATTCAGTCACGCAGCGGATAAAGCTGCGGCAGCCGTCAATCCATACGAGGATGAGGTTACCAGGTTTGCAGCCAAGTACGGCCTTTCTTCCAGACCCCAGGTGTCAGCGGAAGGCGGGAACGAGCGCGCGTTGCGCCGACTCGCGCTGTTGTCGCAGGCCACCGTCCATCTCCGGTCCACCGTCACCGATATCAATGTCCTCGGCGAGCAGGATTTTGACATCTCCTGGACAAGGGCCACCGATAAGGGCACCGAAGAGAGGCACACAGCGCACTTCGATGCGGTGATCATCGCCGCCCCCTTCTCCCAGACCGGGATCGCCATCAGCCCACCGCACCTCCAACCAGCGGAGTCCGCCTCGGTCGAGTACACCCCGCTCCACGTCACGCACTTCATCTCTCGCTACCATATCGACCCCGCTGCCTTCAATCTCAGCGCAACAGAATCCATTCCAGACGAAATCTGGAACCTCAACCCCAATCCCAACGCACAGTCCACCCAAGACAAAGACCAGCTGCCACTAGCAGGACCAACCCCCTTCCTCACCCTCACGCGCGCCCCCTCCTTCTGGATAGCCGGCTGCTGCGGCGACACCGAGAACCTCTACCGCATCACCTCCACCAAGCCCTTCACCGACGCCGACATCGCCAGACTCTGCCTCCCCGCCTTCCCGGAAACGGTCACCTTCCCGCACCAGAGCCGCTACATCCCGTCGTTTGACGCGCACGCGGAGCTCAATCAACCGAATCCACGCTTCCGAGGTGTCCGCGTCTTCGATGGCGGCCGCGTGCACGACGAGGGGTGGTATCTCCGGCACCGGGGTTGTACGCCGGCGCCGCGGGTCAGATGGGTGCATCGGCAGGTGTGGGAGAATGGGGTGCCGGTCGTGCGGAGGGGGCAGAAGGCGGGTGGTGGTGGTGGTAACTGGGCGGAGGTGAGGGCTCGCGAGAGGGCGGCGATGCGGTTGATTGCGGGGTTGTTTTATGTGTCCGGGTTTGAGGCGAGCAAGGGAGCGAGTCTGGCGGGGAGTGTGTGGGCTGGGAAGGAGGTGGTGGATTTGCTGTGTTGTCGGTGTGGTCGGTGTTGATCTATAATATCTGGCGTTTGCAGGACGAGAAGCGGACTGTCGACGCGGGAGTGCTGACTTCAAGCACCGTTGTTAGTATGAATCTGATGCTTGCCTGTTGTTCACTCATTTTGATACAACGGTAATAGAGTTGCCTTTTGCTGGCGCTCCGCTATTAGTCATTGACTGGTGGCTTGGAGCCGTCATACGCTTAGTAGTTAGCCAGTGAACTATTTATGTCCCATGGGTTGTAGAAGTTTGCAGTCTTAACCCTTTTCCTCGTTTGTAACGGATCCTTTTATCGTAGCCAAAGCGAGTATCGCAACGATAGAAGAATTAGTTGTCGTGATGATCTATGCAATATCACCATTTCTTGCCATATATACAGTCCCCGATTCCCGGACACAGATATACGACAACATGGCCCTTACTACGACCGCTCCAGCGCCTGAAGCGCCTCGTCCAGAGAGATAACCTTGAGTCCCATTTTTGGCAGCAGCATATCCAACATAACACTCGACAACGCAGCAAATTGGTCCACCGGCAACTCCAACACATTGTCGCGGATCACGTAGACATCGTAGTCGAGGTCGAACAACCGGTAGATCGTAGCCATCAAGACGCCGGAGAGGCTTAGTCCAGACTGTCCAAGGTTACATTAGCAATAGGCTCATAACGTCAACAGGTACAACCCTACAATTATGACAGTTTTGATGTTGCGCGCTTGCAAAATCTGCTCCAAGGAATTGCCCATGGTCGCACTCCACCGCGTCTTCTGTAGGATGATGTCTTGCTCGTCGAGCTTGAAGTATTCAGCGATCCGCACCTCCGATGAGCCAGTCGCGAACTCGCCATATGGGGCGATCAGGTTGGCGAAAGGCGTGTTGGGCTGGACCTCGGGCTGGCCGCGTTGGAAGGAGAGGGTGGAGAAGACGGTGAGCGGACGGGGGGGACTTTTGGTGGATGGCTTCGTTCCATCTGTTGCAGCTCTGGATGAATGCACGTCCTTCTGGGGTATCTTTCACAGCGTCGATTAAAACCGTCATCCAGTCCAGGTTGAGGACCGCGTAGTTCTCGCCGAAGCTGAGGCGGCTTGTGCTGGAGGTGGTCATGTAGTGGGATGAATTGTATCGAATTGCGAGAATTGACTAAGATGGTATCATCAGGCCCAGGCTTTTATGCAGCAGGGATAGAGAGAGTTCTCACTCAGACTGTTAAGCAATTATATTCCTACGCAATCAGTACGGTACATCAGGGTCTCAGCGCCCCTTGATAGAAGGGCGCAGCGGAGTTCCGAGATGCTTTCTTATTGGTGTCTCATCGATCCTCACATGACACTTTCCCCACTCAACTCTTTTCGAAGTGGAGATCTCAGTACGGAACTCCGAGGCTTCTCGGAGTACCGACATATGGGCTCTGTTTGATGCAGCTTCTTGCCACTGCGACGAATGCGTCACTTAAAGCATATAAAGTGACCAATCCAACGCTGTCTGCAACCTGTACTATACTTGGAAAGCCCTGAGGAATCCTTGATCAATTCTCAATCAGAGTCATCAAAACAGTATACAATGTCACTGGACAATAAATCCCTAAGAACACAACCAGCACAACTGCAGCAACCGGGGCAGCCGGCGCCAGCAGACGCAACCCTAAGCGTGACCGCTTCGGCCACCACAGAGCAGTTACCTGCAGATGCCACACCTGAAGCACCATACAGCATTTTTGATAAGCGGCAGAAATTGTTGATCATTGTCTTGGTATCCACAGCCGCAACCTGTACGTACAAGTCATCCACCCATGCAAAGCCAACCTGCGCCGATCAGTCAGCAACTAACTCTCGATTCTAGTTTCCGGCTTCGCATCTAACATCTACCTCCCCGCACTACCCACTATCGCCAGAGATCTCAATGTCTCCGTCGAACTGGTCAATTTGAGTGTGACCTCCTATCTCATCTTCCAAGGTCTAGCCCCCAGCCTCTGGGGCCCCATCTCCGATGTGCGAGGGCGACGCACCGCCTACATGGGCACCTTCGTGGTGTTCGTCGGGGCCTGCATCGGTCTCGCCTTGACGAAGAGCTACGCCCAGCTGATCGTCTTGCGGTGCCTCCAAAGCACGGGAAGCGCCAGTACGATCGCCATCGGCTCCGGGGTCATTGGCGACATCACGACCCGAGCCGAGCGCGGTGGCTACATGGGGATCTTCCAAGCCGGCCTCCTGGTCCCCGTCGCCGTGGGCCCCATCATCGGCGGTGCCATTGCCGGCTCTCTCGGCTGGAAGGCAATCTTCTGGTTTCTCACCATCTACGGCGGCGTGTTCCTGTGCCTGTTGGTCATCCTTTTGCCAGAAACCCTACGCTCCATCGTCGCCAACGGCAGCCGCACCCCCTCCAACCCACTAACCCGTTTCCCACTGGACGTGTACCAGCGCACCACCAAGACCCCCTGGCAGGACTACTCCCAAGACCCACAGACCCAGCGCGCCTCCCGCAAGAAAATCGACCACCTCGGCCCGGTCCGCATGCTCCTCTCCAACCACGCCGCGCCCATCATCCTCTTCCTCGCCATCTACTACGCCGTCTGGCAGATGAGCATCACCGCCATGTCCTCCCTCTTCGAGGAGCACTACAACCTCACCGAGATCCAAATCGGGCTGACATTCATTGCCAACGGCGTCGGCTCGATGATCGGCACCCTGGTCACCGGCAAGATCCTGGACGCGGATTACCGGCGGGTGAAGGCCGCGTACGAAGCCTCCTTCGACGCGGAACACGACACTGGCTACTCCGCCACCGCGAGCGCGACAGCCCTCGCCTCCGCGCGGGAGGCAGATTTCCCCCTGGAACGGGCGCGTCTGCGCCTGGTGCCCGTCTGCTCGGTCCTCCAGTGCTGCTCCATCATCCTGTTCGGGTGGACGATCCAGTATCCGCACAAGGTGCACATCGCGGTGCCGATTGTCTCGACCTTCATCACCGGGTGGACGGCGGTCTCGACCCAGTCGCTCATCATGACTTACCTGGTGGATGTGTTCCCCGAACGCAGTGCGGCTGCCAGCGCCAGTTTGAACCTCGCGCGGTGTCTGTTTGCGGCCGGGGGCACGAGCTTCATCATGCCGATGATTGACGGGGTGGGAGTCGGTGTCGCGTTCACGATCTGTGTGGCCGTGCAGCTGCTGGCGTTGGTGGGGCCCTTCATCCAGTGGAGGTTTGCGGCGGGGTGGCGCAAGCAAGAGAGAATGGAGGCTGCGCGGAGGGCGGAGGCTAAGAGTCGATCGCCCTCGCCTTGAAATGGGGTAGTTTTACTCTTCGGCGATGAGACCTGAAGTCTCGATTCCGGTGCACGGGCTTGCATCACGGTTGCGGATATTCTTTCCCTGCTCGGAATGCATTTTAGATAATTTGGCGGTTATCGTCGAATCCCATATTCAGATAGACCCAAAATACATTGTTTCATTTCTCTCGGATCTTGGTAGATATAATCGCAGTCACGTACTATAGCTCGCCTGTTCTTGTAGCTTGTAGAATGACGATAATCGGCGAGTCAGATTCCACAAACCTTCAGCCAAGCCCGCAGAATTCGGCAAGTCCTCGTCCGCCAAAGGATTTATCCGCCGTCGACGAGAGAACCGGCCATCCCCTCTGTCGATATCCAAGACACCGAGTCAGGGATGCAGAAACCGGCAATTCTGGGCCATTCACAGGCTCCAGTCCGGAGTACACCCGCACCATCCCGCATCAATGAGCGTCATTGTTGGGGTTGTCACCCCGGATTCCCCACACTACTCAACGCTTCAGGGTCCACTCCATCAGCTAACCTTTTGGTCCTTGCCTGGTGAGGACTAAACTCCGCAGTCACAACCGGTAAACCGATCTTGGCTCTCCAGCATCATTCCCGCCATTGCCATACCCAGGCCAAAGAGCAGGAGTATAAAGCAACCACGGCGGTCTATACTTTCGGCCACGGCACGCAGTATCTAGCAAGTGCATACAAGTCAAGATGAGGCCCCTCATCCCTCTAAGCCTGCTCGTACCTGCAGCGACAGCCCTCTCGTTGACAGTCAACACGACGATCGGCCAGGTGTATGGCATGATCAACGGCTCAACACCGGGGGTGGCTCAGTTCCTGGGCGTGCCCTTCGCCGAACCACCGCTCGGCGACCTCCGATTTGCACCACCCCAGCCCAAAGCCCACGCCAACCGCACCATCGACGCCACCAAAATCTCCCCCAACTGCCCCCAGTACCCTCTCACCACCGTCACCGACCCGTCAGTCTACACCATCGACTCCCCGTGGCTGCAGCCCTACGGACCCTGGTCGGAAGACTGTCTCACCCTGAACATCTGGGCGCCGCTCCACCCGCGCACCCCCGGCCCCCTGCCGGTCCTCATCTGGCTTTTCGGTGGCGGTTTCTATGAAGGAGGTCTGCTGACGAACGGATTCAACCCGAGTCCGTGGATCCAACGGACGCAAGAACACATCGTCGTTGCGGTCAAGTGAGTAATCCCCACCCCCCACCACAACCACGACAACTGCCCACCCAGCCCTAACCGCCCTCTGCCCTCCGCACCCTCACACTACAAACCACCACCACCACCACCACCACCACCACAAAACTAACACACCCATCTTTCCCCCGAAAGCTACCGCAACAACATCTTCGGCTTCCCCAACGCCGCCGGCCTAGCCGCCACCAACCAAAACACCAACCAAGGCCTGCTCGACCAACGCCTCGCCGTGGAATGGGTGCGCGACAACATCGGCTCCTTCGGCGGCGACCGCTCGCGCATGGTGCTGTGGGGCCAGAGCTCCGGCGCCGCCAGCGTGGACTACTTCAACTTCGCGTGGCCGGCGGATCCCATCGTGCACGGGCTGATCATGCACTCCGGGAGCGTGTTCGCGACGGGCGCCAGCAAGGACGTCACGCACAGCAACTTCACCTTCGTGGCGGAGCAGCTGGGCTGCGGGGGTGGGCTGGCCGCCGGCGAGGAGCTGGCGTGCATGCGGCACAACGTCAGTGCGGAGGCGCTGGTGGCCTTCTACGAGAACTATACCCTCGGAGCGGACGCGCCGGCGCTGAAGTTCACGACGATCGTGGATGGGGTGACTAAGTTTGGGAACTTTACTGAGCGCGCGCTGGAGGGGAATTATTCGGGATTGGTATGTTCTCCCATGGGCTGTGTTATTGGGGAGGAAGGAAAATCCCGGGGGGGGGGGGGGGGAAAGTTGGGATATGCTGACGAACTGGAACTGAAAAGCCCGCGATCCTCGGCACAAACGCCAACGAAGAAGCCTCGCTCGTCGCGTGGGTGGGGCCGCAGGGGCCGAACCAGACGTATATCCATCATCAGACGCTGGAGACGGACCAATGTCCGGCGAATTACTATAATGAGTGAGTTTCCCACACAAAGTCTTTGTCTGAGCAGGAACGTCTGACAGCTGCCGCAGACTGCGCTACAACACCTCCTCGCTCACCTTCCGCTGGTACAATCTGGCGCACTTCCCGAACACCTCGCCCCGGCCGTGGGAGAAGGCGTACCACGCCTCCGAGCTGCCGCTGCTGTTCGGCACCTACCAGTGGTACGGGGGTGCGCCGACGGCGCTGCAGCGGGCGGTGTCGACGCGCTGGCAGGATCTGTATCTGGCGTTCATGAAGGACCCGGTCCACGCGCTCCCGAGCATGGGCTGGCCCGCATATACCCCGGACGGGCAGGCGATGGTCTTTGGCGCGAACGGGACGGTGTCGAGTCTGATGCCGGTGAGTGCGTTGGCGGTGGGATGTGCCGAGTTTCCGTTGCCGACGCAGTGAGGCTGCGTTTTGCACTGTGGGCTGAGATAGAGACCTGCATTATTGTTTGATGTGAAGAGTTCGAGGATCATTGTCTAGCGTCACTCGACGACGCCATGCCGTCATAGATTCGATGATTCACAGGCATACATATATTCATTGCTCATCGCACATCGAAACCACATGCCGCTATCTACACCCGCTCTCTCCCCAGCCCTAAGTCCCCTGCCCACTGACCCACCCCCTTCATATGCCCCTTACCCTACCACCACCCGTAACCTCCAATCGAATCACCTAAGAAACCCACTCATAGCTCAGAACCGGAATCTCAAACGGCGCGGCATCGCACGTCGCATTGAAGAACGCATCATGCACGCAGTTCAGCTGGAAATCCACACTGCCGTGGTAGGTGATCTTGCTGCCGTTGTTGCAGGTGAGGGCGTGGCCGGAGCCGAGCTCGTAGTCCATGTGGCCGACGGAGGAGTCCTCGTTGGAGGTGCCGTAGAACGAGACGATGCGGCCCAGGCCGCGGTCGGCGTAGCCGCAGTTGGATTCGCCGTGGGCGATGTCGTGGATGCGGTAGCCGATGTACGTGTCGCGGCACTCCAGGCCGTCGGCGAAGTCGATGGCCAGGGTCTGCGGGGGCCCGTACCCCCAGGGCTGGTAGTTGGGCATGCCCGTGTAGCAGACGGGGACCATGGTGCCGTTGCAGGTGGCCGGGTCCTGGTCGCACCAGGCGTTGCCGCACAGGCAGTCCTTGAAGGCGATGTCCGCCGGGTTGTGGATGCAGTCCAGCGACTTGGAGCCGTTGAACCAGTGGAAGTAGGTCACCTCCCAGGTCGGGATGGGGCAGCCCTCGGGCGGCGTGATGGAGGCCGGGGCCGGGTCGCGCGGTTGGATGGAGAGGGCGCTGGTGGTGCTGGTCGCAGCGGTGAGGAGGGTGAAGAGGGTAGTTAGGGCGTGCATTTTGTCAGGTTTGAATGGCTGTCTGAGATGGGGATTTTGATTTGATGATGGTTGAGATTGTTTGAAGACCAGCCCTGCTCTGCCTTCCCCCTTTATATAGTCGATCCGTTTCATGGATCGATGGTAGATAACCCCACCTCCGCAGGGGTCTTTTTTTTCTTTTTTCTTTTTTTTTTTTTTTTTACCATTCTTCGAACCGACCCATCTCCAACCGTGGATACTACCATACTCCTTCTAGTGCTATAATTATCCCCATAGTTGAGACAGCGCGAATAGGAATCCTGCAGCGGCAAGACACCCTACCGTCTTGGCAGTATCGAAGCAGGGATCAACTTGTGGTTTTGTTGGCGACACTAGAGAACGAAAAAAAACCCCCGCTCTTCGGGTAAGACCCTGGCGACCTATTTCTTTCGCCACCGAGGAACGGAACTAGCGGCTTAGGGTCGGTCTAGGTAACTTGGGCAGACTTCTGATTGTGCAGAATACATATGGAATACGAGCGATTCTCGCTCCGTGCCTGGTTGCCGACCTGCGCTAGGGCGAATCCCGCGTCGGCTCGCAGCGGATCCGGCCTGCCTCTTTGGGCAACTGATGGAGTTCTCAGACTGCCTGCATCCGCATCCCTGCGGGCTGAGTGGCCTGCTCGGTGCAGCTGAAGGGACGAGACATGCAGACCCTAAACTTGTCAACCCTTTAACTAACCCCCCCCCCCGTATTCAATGCTGCGGGTGCAGCGCAGTGTGCCATTCTGGTTGGCTGGGGGTGGCTGGATCAATCAGATAACTACGTAGTGGGCAGTGGCGGATGGAACATTGCGAGTGAGGAACATCTGGGCTGACACGAGGCGAGGAGGAAGGAGGAATTGTGAGGGGTTTTTGAGACAAGGCTGGCTAGCTGACTCGTGTTCTGCACGGGCATGGATCGTTCCATGATGTTGTGTGTGCTTGTTCTTGGACCAAGGTTGAGGGGTTATACGATTAGCACGGTTAAAGTCTTGAGAACATGTCCGATGTACGTAGTTGAGTCTGTTCGGAATTACCTACTGCATTCGCCGAGGTCTTGGTTGCGGAAAGAAGCCCAGTCTTGCGTTGTGAAGGTCTTCTGCGCCTGGGCATGCATGCTCAGTTCCAACGCCCCGGAGACTGGACTGCCGGTAAAGACGGAAAAATGATTAGGGCGAATGCCGGGCTGAACTGTACGGCAGACTTAGCCCTACTTCTCATCAATTAACGTAGGTTATTGCAGAAGATCTCACTTCTATTTCAGTCTAACATCAGGATCTATCATCGGGGCACTCAGACTCGCAGAATTGGTGTTAGAGCTGTGTCTAAATTTCCAACTAGTGCTAATGACAACGCTCTATGGCTCGGAGGCATGGGGATTACGGGGAGGTAAGATACTCGAGAACAGGTTATCCAGGCCAGTTTTGCGACTTCCTGCCCTCCTCCCAAGAGTATTTAGCCTAATTGATCACTTGTGACGGTGGTTCCGGGCCGGGGGACGATGGAGGGCCTGGGCACTGTGTCGAGATCAGGATAGCTACACAAACTATGCTACTTGGATAACAAAACAAAGCCCTTCTGTCACTACCTCCGATGTAGTGTAACGGATTCCGAAATGTCACATTGTGGTGTTATCGAACGGCGGGCGCCCCGTCTTTCGATTACACTACATCGGATAAGGTGTCTTTCACACAGGAGATCGGGGTTCGATTCCCCGCATCGGAGACGCATGAAAATATTCTTTTTGGTGGAGTTTTTTCACTCTCAATGCATCTCCGAGGGGTCTGCCTTTACAACCCGGGTTGTTCCGCTGGAATATGGCGCTAGTCCCAGATAGGCAACGGCGTCATTGAGCTAGAGGTACATCAAAGAAGGAAAATTGAGCGAGCTGCAGTCTGAATCTTTTGTCGAGCAGGGTCTTGGCTACTGCAATTCACATCAGATCTCGGCTCTTCATTAAAAGGCTATCTTGTAGAGTACTTATCTCTTGTTCTGCCTCGTGGCTGTCATATCTGCTGGCCCTCCCTCTGCTTTTCTCTCCTTCTTGCAAAAGAACACACCAACTTACTGCTAGATTGGGACATTTTTTACTGCTGCGCCTGTTACTTTCTACGTTCTTATTTGAATTGTATCAGCGGATAGCACCAGTAGACATAAGTCGCGCCTTACACTTGATATATCGCTGCACCCCGACCAATAATCCCAATAAACAGCGAGACAACACTGATGTTGGAAGCTGATTCTACAGTATGCACCCATCACCCAACGACTTGTTTAGACCGTAGGTGACTTGGAGTATGACGCACGACTCCAGCTCGCCCGCCAATGGGGTCGCCGGCATCGGTGGCCCCCCGAAGAAACCCCGAAACAGAGTTCGGATCCACCTGATCGGGATGCCCTACCCTCAAGATTCGGGGAGCGACCTTCGGCTTTGCGACCGTTCTATGCAGATACACAAACCTACAACCAGCTGGATCCGCATAGATCGTCGTGCATAACTCCAATACTGTTCTCTATCTCAGCCTATGCCTGTAGAGCATGGTGAACCAACTCGACCGGCCACCACCACGCGGGGAACATCCGCCCGCTTCACCGGGCCAAAAGTATGGAGTAACTTTCCAAGCTGGAAGGCCTTTTCCCCTCTGTTGCCCCACCGAGGGGCACTGAGGGTGAGACCGTGAGGGGTGGTGGGGGGTTCAGGAGCTCAGTCAACCGGGGTTGATTCTCCAACCTACAGTACAAAAACAATCCGACCACCCTGCTTGTTCCCGGGGGCTTCTTCACTGCCCAACTCTCTCCTCCAACCTCACTACTCACCTCTTCCGCAACGCAACCTCTCAAAAACCCAAAACCCCCCACACAATCCGCCAAAATGGTCTACACCATCGTTGTCCGTACGTGAAACCTCCAACCCTGCAACTTTATCACCCCCCCCCCCCCAAAACACCCTCCCGGGAACAACAGACATGCGCGCCAAGCCCGACGAGGAGAGCATCAACAAGCTGCACGCCAAGCTCCTCGAGGCCTCGGCCGTCTACTCCAAGGACAAGGAGACCCTCTCCTGGTTCGTGATGCAGAGCGTCCACGACAAGCAGGACTTCTGCATCGTCGAGCGCTACCTCAACGAGGGCTCCCAGAAGTACCACCTCGAGAACCCCTACTGGAAGACCTTCGACCCCTACGTCATCCCCTTGCTCGAGAAGGAGATGGATCTCCGCCGGTTCGAGGAGCTGGTGCCCGGCGAGGAGCAGAAGCAGTAGACTTGGGGAATCAAATATGGGTTTTCGGGTGGCGAAACCCACTGTCTTGTACATATGACGCAGTTTTGAGGAGGAATTTTATTGCACCGGACCCTCTGGAGGGATTCTCGGGTGCGGAGGTATATGTTTCTGCTGAATGTGTGTGCAATAGTTGCGTTGTTGGGGCAATTAAGATACGTGGTTAATTGCATGGATCTAAATCACTAGACTTCAAGTTGGGATAAATCAATTGAATTTAGTTTAAGCATATTTCTTTGGTAACTATTGGAAATTAATGACTGAACCGTGATTTGCGAGGAGGGTCGCACACAAAGCTGTACTGTACCTATAGCATTCCCGCGGGGCTGCAGTGTCGGGCCGGGTCATTTACCGCCTTCCTAAAATGCACGAACTTGCGACCGACCTTATAGTAACTACAGTAACGGTGAGATGAAGGGCCCGAACGGGAAATATGTATATACTGCAGTGCAGTGCAGCGGCGGCGGACGCTCAATGTATCCATCGACTTTCTCTGAGCACAGAGCAGCTGAAAAGCGTAAGCAGTTGCACCAGAATGGGCGAAACAGCTGAGATTAGGCCTTATCGTGTCTGAAGAGACTATTCAATTCCCCTCACTGCATGTTTGCACATGATCTCGGTATATATGCCGGGCATGCCACTATCTACTTATTGCACCCAGAATGGTTGCACGGCATTGGAATACGAGACCTTCAGCTACAAACCTCGCCAGAATATCACAGTAGCACCGGAGAGAATACCCCCTAGTCCAACCCACAAGCCTCAGCAACGTCAACCTTTCATCCCCCGCAGTCTGGGAAGTAAATGCCTCTGCAGGACCTGATCGGTAACCATCCACACCTGGGGCATATGATGCGTATCGAATGTCGCGCCCGTGTAGTAGGTCCGCCGATGGCCTTGCAAAGCACTCAGCTGCCGATAGAAGCCCGCCGCGACCGCCGCACCCGAGACCGTCAACGTATAAGGCGAGTGATCGCGCACCACCAGGATCTCCGGGTCCGACACGTTGCCGCCGCCCAGCCTGCGCCGCACGCTGTCCACCCCGGCGCGGATGCAGTCCTCCACCTCCGGCTCCGACAGACCCCGCGTTGTACTCCCCACCGTGACCCGGACGATCTTCGACACATCTGTCGGCCGAAAGGCCAACACCGCCGGGAGACGAGGGCGATGGAAGGGGTGGTCCTTGCCGTGGTTCTCCAGGAACGTGTTGTCCGGAAACCCGTCCACCCGGATCAGTGCCGTGTAGAACCACGGGTCCTTGAACTGGCGGAACAGGGCTCGTTCCCGTTCATCCAGGCCCAGCACCTCGAGGTTGGCGGGTAAGGGAGGCGCAGCGAATAGGAGGGTCTTTGCACGGATACGTCGACGGCGTGTTGTGGTGATGATCCGCCTTCGTGTCTCGTCCACCGTACTGGCCACATCCACTACCACGCGATCAATAGTAGAGTCGCGAGCATCCACTCGCACCACGCTACTGTTGAACAGCAACGTTTGACTCTGTCGCAACTCTTGCTCCATCGCCCGGTAGATCTCGCTCGCGTCGTGGCTCTTCGGCCGCACCCACCCCAGCTGAAGTCGGCCGGCCAGGTAGTCCGTCCCCACGTACTTCATCACATACAGCGTCGGGTAGTCCGGCCACTCGCCGAGGCCACTGAGCCATGAGCTGAAGGGGTCGAGGAGCCCGTCTAGATGGTATTTGTCCATAATGTGACTAAAAGGCGCGACTAGATCCTCCGGCACGGGGTCGGGGAGGTCTTCGAACCCGGTTGCGAGGTACGGGTGCTGGGCGAGGAGGGCACTGTAGCGGTCGAGCGCGGCGGTGGTCTCGTTGGCGGGGAGCGGAGTGATGGGCTCCCCCGTGGCGAAGTCGAACATGTCGATCGCATAGTCGATTTTCTCCTTGACGAGGGGGATGTTGTAGTGGGCGAAGGCGTCGCGGATCACGGGCAGGTTCTGGAGCCAGGTGACCCCGTAGTCGATGGGCTGGTTGTTGGTGAGGATCGGGTCGCGGTAGGTGACGGTGTGGCCCCCCAGGTGAGGGCCGCGCCCGACGATGGCGACGGTGTGGTTGAGCTGGTGCAGGCGATAGGCGGCATAGGCGCCTGCTGCCCCGCCGCCGATGATGCACGTGTCGACGAGGAGGTCGCTGAGGGACATTGGTGGTGGTTCGCAAGGGTGGGAGGCTTGGACTTGCGTATGAACAGAGGGGATAGAGGCCCGGTCAGGAACGAGATGTTGTGTGCAACAAAAGTAGGATATAGACAGGTTATCTAAGGTCGCTATAAATAGCGGGTATGCGTCTAGAGAATAAGGTTGCGAGCAATGGAAGCATGGTCGAGCATAGATGAAGCCATCCCATCGGACAATAAACTTAGTCTTAAGCACAGGGAACCCTGGCTGGGAGAGGGAATACTATCAACAATATCCCCGCCCCCGCAGAGTAACAGCATCGATATCTAATCCCCGATACGAGTTTCCTCAACATAAGGTGGCACAAGGTGCTGATAAAAAGAAGATCCTTGCTTCCCCACCAACTGGGAATACATATTCTCCGGACAGGGTGACCGTAAGATCATCGCAGACATTGGTCGGGATCTCGCTTGGCAGATGCATGAAGCTGAGAGGAGCATTCTCGCTCTCACCAAAACTATACCGCACTTGTGCGGCCCAATGAAAAAAACCTCAATTGTAAACAATGCTTTTGGGTAGTTCTCTAGCCCATCCCCACCTACCTCCGCGCACTCCGCCCACCAAAGCAAACCAACATGCCGATATCATAGCATGCCTTCAGAACACCAGCCACAGTGAACGAGGCCCCAAACAGCCCCCTGCTTGCCAACACGCCGGTGATCAGCGGGCCCATACTTTGCGCACTGGTCTTGACCACATTGACCGCGCCCATGATGGCGGTGCGCTTGTCCGACGGCAAGGCGCTCGCCAGGAAGGCCGACCGCGGGGCCACATCCATGTTCTGCGTGCACGCTCGCAGGATCAGGAACATCAGCGCCAGGGGAAGGGCGGAGGGGAATGGGATCATGGCGAGACAGATGGCGGAGGGGAGGTGGGTGAATACCATTGTCTGCAGGGAAGTTAGTCTCACTAATCTTGAAAGAGGATTTGGAAGGGCTGACACGGACCTTGACGTTACCAATACGCTTCGCAATGGAAGATGCGACGATCATTGACGCGGCGGAAATGATCGACGTGGTGAAGAAGATCGACCCCAGCTCGCTCTCGGGGAGTGAGAATTTGCGCTTGAAGAAGTATGTCATCCAGGAACTGCGGCCAGATTAGCATGTATCCGGAATGCAGAAAGCCTCAAGAGGGGAGAACGTACAGCGATGCAAGTCCCGAAGCAAACGAGTCCAGTCCGAAGAGCAGGAACAACTTGAGCACCAGGCTCAGGAGATCACGATCAAACGCAGCGAACAGTGACGGCTTATCCTTCTTCGGCGGCTGCTGCTGTTGTTGCTGAGACTCTTCGCGTGGACGATCACCCAGCAGCGCATCAGTCTCGCCAGATTCCTGCGCCTCCTCTGCTACACGGTCCTCCTCCTGGATCGCCTCAACCTTTCGACTCAAGCAGAGGGTCAGAACCAACTTCACCACCCCGACCGCAGCATACCCGAAAAACATGACCCGGCAGGCGGTGATGAAATCGCACCCTTTCGTGGCTTGCAGGAACTTGACAGCCCACCCGCACGACATCATGCCCAGGGCCATCCCCGCCGACCCGAGGAGAGAATACCAAGCAAAGATGTCGCTCAGATGCTCGTGGGGGGTCAGATGCGCAAGTGTGGACTCCTCCACCGCCCGGAAGGGGCCGATCTCGTTGCCGCTGGAAGCTTGTATTAGCGTGATATTCCTCACATACGTAATACGGAAAAGAAAGAAAGATAAAAATTTACAGAAGCCGGAAAGAAAAATAAGGAGCAACATACCTCGGACTGATAACTCCCAACACCGCAGCAGCCAGTAACCCCCAGAACCCAGCCCCCAGGCCAAAAACCACCCCGCTCCCCGCCATCAAGGCCGACCCCAACGACAAGACCGCCCGCCGCCCCATCGCATCCGCAAACAACGTCAACAGGAAACTAATCACCACATCCCCGACCAAGGTCAAGGTCATGAATAATCCGATGCGTTCCTCCGAGATGGCCAGCGCGGAGAGATACGACACGAGGATCAGCGTGGAGGCCCCGTAGGCGAACAGCCGCACGAACCGCTGGGCGCAGAGGAGCTTCACGTCGCGCGGGGACCGCCAGACGGTGACGAGCCCCATCTCGTCCAAGACACGGGCTAGCACGGCTTTCCCATGGTGTGGCGGATGGTGCTGGTGCGCCTCTTCCGATCGAGACATGATTGGACTTCTGCCTTTCTCGGGAATGAGATGTGGTTGAGATTAAAGATGAATTGTGAGCCTGATGCTCCTTTATTCAGGCGTGGCATGCGCTCGGCGATAAGACGAGAAAAAGTCATTGCCTTGCATAAATCCGAGGTCTGCGCTGGATTAGGTATGTCCGTCTCGGGGTCGGGGTCGGCCTCGGTCTTGAGCTCGGGGTCGGGTCCAGTGGGGGAATCAAAGCCGAAACCGAATTATCGGCCTCACAGTCGGCTTTTCCGAGCAGAAGTTCAACCTTTGCTGTTGCAAGGGTATACAAGGCATTGGGGAACAGATTGCGTGGCTCTGGAGTAAGACTGCATTCAATGCCATGACGATCACAGTAAAGACATTCTATTGTGTCAGGCAACTTTTGAGCTATTAATTCTCTACAAGACCAGCACCAATGACTGCGAGTCAACCACAAAGTTAAGTCACAGGGCATCCGTTGAACCTGGCAGCGGTCGACAAGCAAACAAAAAACGATGCGATTCAAAGTTCACTGAGCTCGCGGGATAGCAGGATATCCTGCCGGTTGTCCTGGACTGTGAATGCGATAGTGCTCGTCACGTGCCCTGGAACAGTCTAAATCAGCATGATG